AATTTTAGACAAGAAAAGAAATGAGAGCATTAGTTGCTGCCACTTGGTATGAATTAGACAATGAAGAAAGTATTTACTTCTCTGAAATGGTCATAAAAATGGCATTCTAGGTTTTTAGAAATTTTCCAGGTGAGGTTTCTAAAAAACAAACAAACAGAAAGATTTAAAAAAAACAAAACAAAACAAAAAATTGACCAGCTATCACATTTGCCTGAAAAAAACTGAATTAAATATCTCTATCAGGCCTGGCATGGTGGCTTACTTTGGGAGGCCAAAGTGCTGATCACAAAGGCGGGCAGATCACTTGAGGTCAGGAGGTCGAGGCCATCCTGGCCAAGATGGCGAAACCCCGTCTCTAATAAAAATACACAAATTAGCTGGGTGTAGTGGTGCACTCCTGTAGTCCCAACTATTTGGGAGGCTGAGGTGGGAGAATTGCTGGAACCTGGGAGGCAAAGGTTGCAGTGAGCAGAGATGGCACCACTGCACTCCAGCCTGAGTGACAGAGTGAGACCATGTCTTGGAAAAATAAACAAACATAAATAAATATCTCTATCATAGTTCATCTTGAACAAACTTTTCCCCTAAGCCAAATTAATTTATAACAAAGGAAGCTAATTTTAGTAAAGTCGGGTAGCCTACAACAATAGCAATGATGAAATTTTTGTTAGTTGACTTAGAAAACTTAATATTAGAGGAAATAGGACTATAAAATGAAGCTTTTGAGAAACCTTTTAATCTTCGGTTTTTTAGAGACTGAGTCTCACTGTGTTGCCCAGGCTGGAGTGCAGTGGCACAATCATTGCTTACCAAACTCCTGGGCTCAGTTGATCCTCCCTAATAGATAGGACTACAGGCACATGCCACCATGACCAGCTAGTTTTAAATTTTTTTGTGTAAGAAGATAGGGTCTTGCTGTGTTTCTCAGACTGGTCTCAAATTCCTGGCCTTGGGCGATCTTTCTGCCTAGGCCTCCAACAGCGCCATGATTACAGCCCTGTGCCATCACACCCAGCTAATTTTTTATATTCTTTTGTAGAGGTAAAGTCTCATGTTGGCCAGGCTGGTCTGTGCACGAACTCCTAGGCTCAAGCCATTCTCCTGCCTCAGCCTCCTAAAGTGCTGGGATTATAGGCGAGAGCCACCCTTATGACCTTATTTCACTTTAATTACCTCCCTAAAGTCCTACTGCCAAATACAGTCACATTGGAGGTTAGCACTTGGACCTGTAGTTCCAGCTACTCTGGAGGCTGAGGTGGGAGGATTGCTTAAGCCTGGGAGGCTGAGTCAGCAGTGACCTGTGATCACGCCCCTGCACTCTGGCCCACGTGGCAGAGCAACACCCTGACTCAAATAAATAAATAAGGTGATAAGGGTGGAGCCCCAGCTAGAGTGGCTGTTGGGTATACATAGGCAGGAAAGGAGATGAGTCAGTTGCCAGAGGGAGAGAGGTTTTGGGGAAAAAGAGAAATGCTTAAAGCATTTTAAGGAAAGTTTACAGCGCAAGGTATGATATAATGCTTTATTTCCCTTCAAAGCATTCAATAAAATCTATAATAACCATCCGTGGTCTGGATTTGAATTTAATGCCTCAAGTCTGGCCTAAAGATAAAAATGGAGCAAACAGAGTATCTGCAAAAGGGCCCCAGCCATAAACAGATTACATTTGTTACACAAACGTGAGCATATGTACATGCAGAGACAGAGAGCTGGGACTACAGGCACACACCACCATACCCAGCTAATTTTTTTTTGTTAACTTTTTTGTAGAGACGGTGGGGGGGTCTCACCATGTTGCTCAGGCTGGTCTTGAACCCCTGAGCTCAAGCAATCCTCTTGCCTTGGCCTCCTAATGTGCTGGGATTATAGGCATGAAGCACCAGTCCTGGCCTATTTACTAATTTTTGAACACACATATTTTTATTTATTCATGACTTCTTATCACATTTTTAATAAAATTTATTCCCATAGAACACCTTGAGGATTGTAAACCTGTGACCTCCTATACCTGCCATCCATTCCTGCTAGCATCTTTGAAATATGTAGCAACAAAATGACCAGGAAGTTTGTGAAGTGAATCCTTAGTAAAGGTAATTATTAACCATGGTATGTACACGGTCAGAGTGAACACATTGCTTGAGGGATCAATGTAGGAATCTCTTGAAGGACTTTCAAAGCACTGCACTGGGCCCAAGCTGTAGATGTTGTATAGAGGACCAGGGGCAGTCAAAGTTCTCGACCCATTTTCCTAAGCCATAACGGTAGGAGAGAAATGTTCTTGTTTACCACAAGCTGGGTTACGTCTTTGCTGTATTGCTTTGTACACACTGGGGAATCAGGGCAAAGGAAAAGCCTGTCCTCTCAGAACCTCCCTGTCCTCATTTCCAGGAATAGCGATGGAGAACAGAGCAGCTAATCTCACTGCCAAGAGAAGGAAAGCCAAAGGGAGCCTCAAGTCATCAGGTACCAGGACATTCAGGGCTTTAAAGTTGCTGCCTTCACTTTGTGGGCCATTTGAAGAAATCTGTACAGAACTTGAAAACGAGTTGTAATAGAATCTTGCCCAGCAGAAGCAAGGGTCTGCCAGGCATTTTTGCTCATTCCCTTTTTGTTTTCCAGGGTTGCTTCCTCAGCTTACATTTTCCCCTTTCAACTCACTCCCTGGATGGTTTAATTCCCATCTGGGTATACCATTACTTATACTAGCTATGTAGAAATGCACTTTCCTTGGTGCTCTGCTGGTCTCCTCCTGGACAGCTGCATCCACCTCCTCTCCACGTGTCTAATGCACATCCATCAACTTGCCCCTCACTCTCTTACTGCCCCTATTTTGTTTCATGGCTTTACCATTCACTCAGCTGTTAAATTGAGAAACTTCAGTTCTCTTTCCCCCTTTCTCTGTAGCACCTTCTTCACCTAAACAAACATTCAGTGAGGCATTAAGTCTGGCCACTTCTGCCCATGGAATGTTTCTGGAATCCTTGGACTTTGCAAGAGACTTTTATTTATTTTTAATTTTTTAAATTATTTTTTAACGACAGAGTCTCACTCTGTCACCCAGGCTGGAGTGCAGTGACACAATCTTGGCTCGCTGCAACCTCCACCTCCCAGGTTCAAGTGATTCTCCTGCCTTAGCCTACTGAGTAGCTGGGATTACAGGCGTCTGCCCCACGCCCAGCTAATTTTTGTGTTTTTAGTAGAGAAGGGGTTTTACCATTTTGGCCAGGCTGGTCTCAAACTCCTGACCTCAAGTGATCTGCCCACCTCGGCCTCCCAAAGTGCTGGGATTACAAGCGTGAGCCACCCCTTGCGGCCTGCAAAAGCTTTCAGCTTATCTCAGACCTAGGTCTGTTTCCAATTCATCTTCCACATAGTCATCAATTATTCTTATAGAACAAATTTCTGATCTTATCTCTCTCCTGCTTAATAACATCCAATAGTTCACTCATTGTCTAAGTTGTATTTTATTTTACTTTGAGACAAGGTCTTACTGTGTTGCCCAGCCTGGAGTGCAGTGGTGTAATTATGCTCACTGCAGCTTTGACCTCCTGGGCTCAAGCGATCCTCCAACCTCAGCCTCCAGAGTAGCTGGGACCACAAGTGTGTGCCACCATGCTTGGCTTATTTACTTTATTATTTTATTTTATTTTGTTTTTTGTAGAGTCAGGGTCTCCCTATGTTGTCCAGGCTGGTTTTGAACCCCTGGGCTCAAGCTATCCTCCTACCTCGGCCTCTCAAAGTGCTGGGATTACAGGCATGAGCCACCAAAACCAGCATAAAGTTGTAATTCCTTAGCAATGTGTTGTACACTTCCTTTATGTCCCTTCATCCCCAATCAAATTCACCTTTCTGCTCACCTACTCTCTTAGTTGTCTGCTTTCTGCCATATGACAACCAGCTCTTCCAACACCTTAGCCCAGATTGCTTTTACATGTGCTATCCAGTGCATGTTACGTGTTTATTTCAGCTAGAGAGGTTTCTGGAGTTAACCAAGTTTGCATGTGTGTCTGGGGATGCTTAGGAGAATGTTGTAAATGACCAGTATACTACAGTGACACTGTGATTTGCTTCTTCTCCATGCTGGTAGCAGCAGTCCCCAAATCGTGCAGTGGCCAGCATTTTATTCAGGAGAAAATTGCTGTAGTTCCAAGTATTGTTAAACTGAAAAGATGTAGGCTGGATTTACATGTACTTTTGGAAATATTGTATATTTTGAAGGTATTATAAGTTTGATTTTTTTTTTTTTTTTTTTTTGGTGAAATATCTGCACTCTCTCCATGGATCAAATCATTTTTGCACTTTTTATTCCTTACCCCCACAATTGGTTTGTTTGCTTTCCATTCCTGAAAGCCTGCACTGAAGCTCTCTGGTACTTGTATTTACTTTTTCTCTACCTTTAATTTTCTTCATTTTATTTTTCATTCCATTCCTTTTTCTATGTTTTCAAAAACATCTTTTTTTTCTCATTTAGCTCGTACTTTGCCATGAGCTTGTGCTTTGCTATGTTGGGGATTTTATTATTTCTATCTTAATTCAAAGGATATAAACCATACAAAAGCCTGCTGCCTTGTCAAAAGGAGTTCTGAATCTGAAGCCCAAAATAATATCCAGTATAGTCTTGTACAATTTGGCTGTATTTCAGACATGAATAATACTGCTTTTCCAGGGTAAAGGAAATTTTTGATCTACTCTTTCTACCAAAGCACTCATTTCTCATGAATGTCCTGTTCTCAAAGTTATTGAGTCAGTTGTGATGACAGCTGGTTTTCTAAGCAGCCAGGAAAGAAGAGGAATCTTTATATATTTTTTCGCCTTTTTTTCTCATCAGGAGCCAAGATAGGATATTTATATACTTTAAAACCAGTCCTCAAGAGAGAACTATCTGTACTCTCACCCCCTAAAAAAGGTTTTTTATATATACACACACACACACACACACACACACACATATATCTATATACACACATACACACACACACATCTTAATACTAAATTCTAAATTCTGGATATTGTGTTGTTTCCTTAGATCCAGCACCAGCTAAAGGAAAGGAGCTTGTATAAATGTTTTTGTTTCTAATAAAAATATCCAGGTTCCTTACCAGTAGCACATAGATAGGGTAGACAGTTGTATGAATATTGTGGGTACAAATGAAAGTAATAGAATTTATGAGCTGACCAGCTTCAAGAAGGCCACATGTCCAACTCCATCAGCTTCCAGAAGCAATTCTTCCTGCCCCCAGCTCCACATAAAGGACTGAGAAGTCTAGGAAGAAGCGTAACAATGTCTATTGGTAGTCAGTGTAGTTTAGTGGTTAATTGCTGCCATTACTCAATTAGTTTATTAGATTCAAGAAGAATAATCAGCCAACAAATACTTATTAACATGGAGGAAACGCTGACCATAAGATGTTAGGTGCTGGGGAATGCAGTGGGAAAACAAAAGAGTTTAAAGGCTGGAGGGGAAGATAAACGGTCAGCAAGTTTTCAGAGTTTATCAGATAAATGAATTCAAGAGTGTGAAATACCATGGGCAAGAAATACAAGGTGTCAACAGTAGAAACTGAATACATACACGCCTGTGGGCATGTATACCCATCCACCCACATATATACACAAGGAACAGAACTTGAAATGAATCTGTCTTTCCTCCACCTCAAGTGGCAGCTTTGTTAATTCCTGCAAAGCAATATAAATAGCAGCTTCTCTGAAATTATATGCATCCCTTTTCTGTTGCTGTTTATTGATGCCTGAGGAGGGCAAACATGGGTTCTACTGATGTCAGCAGGCAGAGTTGCTGCAGTAAAATTTATTCAAAATGAGTGATTGTTGTGGGTTCTGATTTGAATAGATAAGCTGTAGATGCATTTATGAATTTGCATGTCTGTTTACATAAGCAATAGACCATGGTGGCTGAAAGTCCACCACTAGAGGCCGACTCTGGCTTCTGTTCTACAGTGGGTCCACTAGTTACTAGGTCTATAACCTTGGATATACATCTGTAAAGTGAAGATAAATAACCACATTAACAACCTCATAGTTTGCTGTGAGGATTAAATGAGTTAACACATGCTAAGCCCTTGGAACAGTGCAGTGCCTGGCACAGAGTAATTGCTCTACAAATGTCATACTGCTTTTGCTCTCCAATCCCCCCGCCTTTTTTTTAGCCAACTAACTGAGCAGGATAATATTGAATCTCGTGGATACAGGGGAAATTTTTGTCAGCAGAATACCAGAGAAAGATTTATTAAGTATCACCAAGGGGGCCCAGGAATTTAATAACACATTTGTTGTTTTTAGAGCTGAGTTTTTGTTAGAGTGTTAACTGAGAAAGAAAGTGTTTTCAGACGCAAATGGAATGTGACATTTACTCTGGTATTATTAGCATATAGAGTAGTAAAAACAGTAGTTGATAGTCTTCCTGCATGTTAGCTTCCTTTAGACTTATTTTCAAAATATACATTTGGTTGGTCACAACATATCGTGTCCCACTTAACATAGTTGAGACAAATTAAGGAAAGATGATAGGGTATGAAGAGCTGATAGAAGCTTTTAATATGTGGAAAACCTCAGAATATAAACATCTACAGTGTTATTAATAGGCATATCGTCAACAACAGTTTTTCAGACTTTGTGCTTCACTCTGGAGAAAAACAAGAGCATCACATCTTGAATTTTTTCATTGGGTAATTAAAAAACCCAGTTATAATGTAACACCAGCTGAACATATCATGTTAGTGGAGTTCAGCATCAATTAAAATTATTAACGAAACCCGTCATATGTTCCTTTTCAAAGCTGTTCAAGACAACTGTCCAAATCAGCAAAACAGTATGAATATTTATTACCATAAATCTTTTAACTCTTTGGTTTTAACTCATTTCAAATTTTTAGTTCTACTCTATTCAAATAAATTATTATATAATAGCTAATACATACCAAGAGCTTACTGCATAATCTAGCTGCTGTTCCAGACAGTAACTAATGAGAAAACTGTAGAGAGTAGCTGCAGCTTTTAGTAATACAACCTCAAGAAGAAAGTGGGGGCAGTACCGAAACTTACGTATAGTACCGTCCTTAGTACAGCATTGACACTGATGGCCTCCTTCAGGAAATACAAACCTGGTGAGGTTTTTAATTACTAATGCTAGAGAGTGGCGTTTTTCCGAGGACTATGTTCCACTTGGTCTGTCTCTGATGGCTATTAACTAATAAAACCGTTCTCATTCTGCTGCTGTGGGAAGTAAGCAACAACGGAAAAGTAAGCGATAATCTTAGAGCATAACTCAGAAGGCCAGAGCAGCCAAGGAGGTGGTAGAGTCCCGAGCCCCGCCTTCTCCACAGCCCCCCCAAAACCCCGCAGCGGGGCAGAGCGCCTGGCGGGGTGCCAGCGGCAGCCAGCGTTTCCCGCGGGGCGCCGGGGGCGGCCCCGGGACTGGAGGCGGCGCCTCGGGAGCTGTGTGTCTGGCGGCGGGCGGGCGTGCTCCGCCGGGGTCTTGGAGGCCGCTGGGCGCGTGCGCGGGCGGTTGCTACCTGCAGCCGAGCGAGGGAGCGAGAGGGCACCGAGAGCAGCTGGCTCGAGCAGCATGAGGCCAGGAGTGGAGCGGTCCGTGGAAGGGGGTGCATACGATGGCGGCTCCGAATTGGAGCTACTGAAGCTGCGCGCGGCGGAGTGCATCGACGAGGCGGCCGAGCGGCTGGGGGCCCTGAGTCGCGCGATCTGGAGCCAGCCCGAGCTGGCCTACGAGGAGCACCATGCCCACCGCGTGCTGACGCACTTCTTCGAGCGGGAGCCGCCAGCCGCCTCCTGGGAAGTGCAGCCGCATTACCAGCTGCCCACGGCCTTCCGCGCCGAGTGGGAGCCGCAGGAGGCCCGGGCGCCGAGCGCCGCGCCACGCCCGCTGCACCTGGGCTTCCTCTGCGAGTACGACGCGCTGCCTGGCATCGGCCACGCCTGCGGCCACAACCTCATCGCCGAGGTCGGGGCGGCGGCCGCGCTGGGCGTGAAGGGGGCCCTGGAGGGCCTCCCCAGGCCGCCTCCGCCGGTGAAGGTGAGGTGGGGCCCGGGTGCGGGACCCCATCCGACTGCCCGGGAAGGGCGGGACCCTGGTGCGTCCCGCGCGTCTCGGTGCCCTTCCGCCCGTGACAGGTGTGTGCGGGACCGCGGTAAACCTAAGGGCCTCGCCTCTGCGCGGGAGCAGAGCTGAATCCCCAGTCAAAGTCGGTTCGCGTTGCTGACCTAGCAACATCTTGCAGATTATTGTTTCCTCCTCTCGCGTTGTAAACAGCTCTGCTGAGTTGTTCCCTTAGGAAAGAACTTACACCCAAGCCTGGTGTGTGTTACGGGGTTATTTTTGGTAACTGAGAGGCCACCGCAATTTGCTGACAAGGTTGTGCCATCAATCCCAGAAGGAAATAACTTTTTGTAGGGAATCGTACGGCCCCTTTTTATTCGTCTCCAAATCTTTTGTTTGTGGCAGTCCTGGGAAATGTTGTGATCCAAGTCATTGGTGTTTGGATAGGAATTTTCAGTCGCTAAACCACCAAACCCCTAGAAGTATACAAATAAAGGGGAAGTGAATGAGCATTATACATAGATGCTTAATACATCCTTAAGTCTTAATTTTTCTTTTGTCTTATGATTTTAGGAAATATCTCGTCTTTTTAAACGGGGAAATGTCGTTTATGTTTTTTGTGGGGCAAGTTTAATCCTGTGTTACTCTGTTTTTCCAGATGGTATATTCTACACTGTGAGCTAAGATTCAGTCGTCATTCAGGTTAAGGGGAAAACAAATGTTTTATTTTCATACTCTTTAGCTCATTTTCCCCAGTGTCGGTAACCTTCCTCTTTTATCCTAACACTACATCTTTTGTGGCTTTTTCACTTTAGTTGCCTTCTCTTTTCTGTCTCTGGGGGCTTGTTTTTGTATTTGTTAGGTTTTTGTTTGGGTTGGGGGGAGCATCCTTTGCCATGTCACAAAATACTGGAAAGATTTCGCTTCAACCGCGTTTCTGAAAGGTTCTGAGTAGTCAGCGAGAGGCACATCGTATTTAATGAGTTAAGGGTTAAGAATGAAGAGCTGTGGGCGGATCAGTTGAGGTCTGGAGTTCGAGACCCGCCTGGCCACCATGGTGAAACCCCTGTGTCTACTAAAATACAACAACAACAACAAATAACTGGGCGTGGTGGCTCACGCCTGTAATCCCAGCTACTTGGGAGGCTGAGGCAGAAGAATCGCTTGAACCCAGGAGGCAGAGGTTGCAGTGAGCCAATATTGCGCCACTGCAGTCCAGCCTGGGCGACAGAGCGAGAGTCGGTCTCAAAAAAAAAAAAAAAAAAAAAAAAAAAAAAAAAGCAGCTTCATGTCAGAGTTTGAGCACTGTAGAACCGCTAGAACCACCAAAAAAAGCTAGACTTTGGGAAATTGTAATACACTTTTTTTTTTTTTTTGGGGGAGAGTCTCATTCTGTCGTCCAGGCCAAGTGCAGTGGTGCTATCTCGGCTCACTGCAACCTCCACCTCCCGCGTTCAAGCAATCCTCATGCCTCAGCCTCTTGAGCTGGGATTACAGGTGCGTGCCACCATGCCCAGCTAATTTTTGCATTTTTTAGTAGAGACTGGATTGAGCCATGTTGGCCAGGCTGGTATCGAACTCCGGACCTCAGGTAATCCGCCCGCCTTGGCCTCCCAAAGTGCTAGGATTACAGGCATGAGTCACCGCTCCCAGCCCACACTTCTAATTTCAAATGGTTGTTCTCAGTTTTAGCAAGGTTAAGTTTTTAATTATCTGAAAATGGAATTTAAGTTGATTTCCTTTCCAAGCCAAGACTTTTTTCCAGCTTGTTTCATTGTGTTCTTATACATGATCTTGAAAATATATTAGTTGTTTATTTTGATTTTTAAAATTGTTTGAAGAAGTTAAACTTAAATATCAAAGTAAAATGTTTATTCTGTAAAGTTCTCTTTTGTTTAATTAGGTGTTTGGTGACCAATAAATCTGCCTGGTTGAACTGGTGGAATCGAATTAGTAAGTTTGTGTAATAGTTGGCTGTTTCTAACTATGGCATTAAGACTTGTTTAATGTTCTTCATAAAGGATTAATGAGTTAAGAGTTTTAAAGTAGGTAGCCCAGTAAAGAATCAGAGTTGAGGCCAGAAGGTCAGGACATCTAATCCTAATTCTGCTTGAAGACTTGCTCTGTGACCTGGGGCAAGACACTTCACTCAATTCCTCAAAAACACCCCCTGTAAAATGATGATAGAGATCGCCCACCTACCTCACAGGGTTGTTGTGAGGATAAGTAGCAAGTTACCAGAAAGTTCCTGACCTATAAAGTACTTAAGAATAATTATATACATACACTAAAAGGCTTAGTCGAGAGGAAGCTTTATGAAACAAATCCTAACAAATTTGGAGGAACTAAACTTACAGTATTTTTTTTTTTATCTTTGCCGTCAGTTGACTTGTAAAATTGGGAAAAGCTTTTTATAGTGTCTTTAGTACATACTTTGCACCAAGTTGGTATAACAGTGTACATTTTGTGATTAATTTAGCACCATTTTTTGATGCCCACTGCGTAAGCGTCATAGAACAAAACCTCTCTTAATAGGTTAAGGACTTTAATGTAGATTGTGAATACATATGCAAGTGAACCTGTTTGATGTTTTCCTATGAGGATTTTGTTGTTTTTCCCTGACATGAGTATTTCTTTCTAGGTAATTGTCCTGGGAACCCCTGCAGAAGAAGATGGTGGTGGCAAAATTGATTTAATTGAAGCAGGGGCTTTTACAAATCTTGATGTTGTTTTTATGGCCCATCCATCACAAGAGAATGCTGCTTATCTACCAGATATGGCTGAACATGAGTAAGTAATCAAGTTGAAGATAAACTTCTTAGGGGAACACAGGCTATAGAATACTTTTATGTCTAAACCAGACATGAAGACTCATTTGTACATTTAAGAAGTAAATTGAAAGACAATAACAAGATGTCTTGATCTATGGAGTGACATTTGGCAAGCCTCTTTTAATTGAGATTCATTATGGTGTTCATAATTGGAGTATTAAAGTAGTAGCACTTAGAAACCATAGGAATAACAAACATGTTGACAAGTTCTCTTTTGAACTGTCCATAGTCTGGTGTCTGGAAAACATCTGTCCTTTGATATAAAATTGTCTTTGCAACTGAATAGATTTGCAAGAGATCGTTCTATTAGATATGGGAAGAAAACACCCTTCTCCATTTTATTTACTTTAATTTGAGTTCTTTGCAAAGAGGATAAATTATGTCCTGAGAGAGAATATGGAACATGAGTAGCTGTGATTTTTGTGGAACTTCTCATTCTGTGCTTTTCTGATTTGTCTGGTACTGAATCCTTTTATTTGTCTGTCTTTATGTTGAAGAACTCACTTTTTAGTACGTAGGAGCATAGATCATTGAAGTGGTTTGGATTTTTTATACCAGAAATTTCAACCATAGTAGTAACCATAGTATATCGGGGGAAAATCCCACCCCCGATATTTATCATGGGTTCTTTTCTATTTCCTAGGCATCTCAGATGGTTTGAGAAATAAAGGGAAAGAGCACAAGAGAGAGAAATCTAAAGCTGGGTGTCCGCTCGGAGAGCCGTAAAACCAGCAAGTTTTTATTAGCGATTTTCAAAAGGGGAGGGATTGCATGAATAGGGTGTGGGTCACAGAGATCACATACTTCACAAGGTAATAAAATATCACAAAGCAAGCAGAGGCAGGGCGAGATCACAGGACCACAGGATGGGGCAAAATTAAACTTGCTAATGAAGTTTCGGGCACACATTGCCATTGATAACATCTTATCAGGAAACAGGGTTTGAGAGCAGACAACCTGTGTGACCAAAATTTATTAGGCGGGAGTTTCCTCATCCTAATAATCCTGGGAGCGCTATAGGAGACCAGGGCTTATTTCATCCCTTTGGCTTCGACCGTAAAAGGCGGCCACCTTAAGGGGGCCGTCTATAGGCCTACCCTCAGGGCGCATTCTCTTTCTTAGGGATGTTCCTTGCTGAGAAAAAGAATTCAGCGATATTTTTCCTATTTGCCTTTGAAAGAAGAGAAATATAGCTCTGTTCCGTCTGGCTCACCGGTGGCCAGAAGTCTTATCTCTCTTGTTACCTGAACATTGCTGTTACCCTGTTCTTTTTTCAAGATGCCCAGATTTCATATTGTTCAAACACACATGCTCTACAAACAGTTTGTGCAGTTAATGCAATCATCACAGGGTCCTGAGGTGACATTCATCCTCCTCAGCTGACAAAGATGACAGGATTAAGAAATTAAAGACAGGCGTAGGGAATCACAAGGGTATTGATTGGGGAAGTGATGAGTGTCCATGAAATCTTCACAATTTATGTTCAGAGATTGCAGTAAAGACAGGTGTAAGAAATTATAGAAGTATTAATTTGGGGAACTAATAAGTGTCCATGAAATCTTCACAATTTATGTTCTTCTCTCACGGCTTCAGCCAGTCCCTCCGTTCGGGGTCCCTGACTTCCTGCAGCAATAGTAGTTAATGGTCCAGGCGCAAGGAGCCACTGCTTAGCTGCTTCAGCAAAACCGTGTGTTTTCCTCAGAAGTAGCTGGTACCTAAGGAGTGATGGCAGAACCATCACAGCAGTGCTTCTAGATTGTACCCAGGTATCCCACCTCTTAGCACCTTACCAGGCCCTGTTTTCAATCATTTTAACTATTAGGATATCTTCCTTCTTATCACTGGGAATTGGTACTGTGACAGTAGGAGGAATCTTTGAACTTTGGTTTCAAGGATAGTGGTAAACTAGTCCATCTCTAGAAAACAATGGGATTAGAAATTTCTGCCCTTGCGTTTCACTAGAAGGGGCTTGCATATGCAGGCAGGCTCTGCAGCTCGTTACCCTTCTGGGACTTAGGGTTAGGCGTCGTGGTCTTGGTTCTGAAGTTAGCGCACTTGACCCCAGGCCTCCTTTTAGTGTCTGCCTTCTTAGCTTTCTCATTGATCATCTCTCTCTCTCTCTCTTTTTTTTTTTTGAGACTGAGCCTCATTCAGTTGCTCAGATTGGAGTGCGGTGGCGCGATCTTGGCTCACTGCAACCTCTGCATCCCAGGTTCAAGTGATTCTCCTTCCTCAGCCTCCCGAGTAGCTGGGATTACAGGCATGCACCATGGCGCCCAGCTTATTTTTATACTTTTAGTAGAGACGGGATTTCACCATGTTGGCCAGGCTGGTCTTGAACTCCTAACCTCAAGTGATCCACCCACCTCAGCCACCCATAGTGCTGGGGTTACAGGCATGAGTCATCACACCTGGTCTTCTTTGGTCATCTTTTAAGATAGAAAAGAGAGGTGAGGCGCAATGGCTCACTCCTGAGGTTAGGAGTACGAGACTAGCCCGGCCAACTTGGCAAAACCCCATCTCTACTAAAAATACAGAAATTAGCTGGGCATGGTGGTGGGCGCCTGTAATCCCAGCTACTCGGGAGGCTGAGGCAGAAGAATTGCTTGAACCAGGGAGGCAGAGGTTGCAGTGAGCGGAGATTGCGCCGCTGCGCTCCAGCCTGGCTGCCCGACAAGTGAAACTCCACCTCAAAAAAAAAGAACAAGATCAAGAATTCCTTTTTTTTTTTTTAATTACTAATCCACTTTTCTTAAAATTTTTTTTTTTTTTTTTCCAAGAGAGTCTCGTTTTGTCACCCAGGCTGGAGTACAGTGGCACAATCTCAGCTCACTGCAACCTCTGCCACTGGGTTCAAGGGATTCTCCTGCCTCAGCCTCCCATGGAGCTGGGATTACAGGTGAGCACCACCATACCCAGCTAATTTTTGTATTTTTAGTAGAGACAGGGTCACTATGTTGGCCAGGCTGATCTTGAACTCCTGACCTCAAGTGAGCCACCCGCCATGGCCTCCCAAAGTGTTGGAATTACAGGCATGAGCCACCATGCCCGACCAAAAATTTCTAATGAATAAGATAAAGCAATCCTGCTGACCACCTTTCCCAAATCCAGTCGTTTTTCTAGAGGTATGTATCCTTTTCAGAGTGTTTTTGGTGTACTTATGGGACATAAATAGAATCCTGTGTAAATTAAATTGTGAAAGAAGGTTTTCCTCAAGTATTCCACTCAATATATTGTTCTGGCTTTTTAAAATTAAATAGTATGCTTGAAAATAATTCCATGTAATCCTTTTTGTTTTTGTAATGTTTATCACCAGTTGTGATAAAATTCCAGTTTTGCCAGGCCAGGTGGCTCACACCTGTAATCACAGCACTTAGGGAGGTCAAGGCAGGAGAGTCTCTTGAGCCCAGGAGTTCATGACCAGCCTGGGCAACATAGTGAGACCCTGTCTCTACAAAAAAATAAAAAATTAACTGGGCATGGAGCACTCCTGTGGTCTCAGCTATTCATCTGTGGGAGGCTGAGGCAGAGGAGGATTGCTTGAACTTGGGAGGTTGAGACTGCAGTGAGCTGTGATCGCGCCACTGCGCTCCAGCCGGGGTGACAGAGCAAGATGAGTATCCAAAAAAAAATTCATTTCAAGGTCATGGTGATAAGATATATATCAAGGAAATAACAATGCAGTATCCTGAAATCTAATACATGTTTGATATTTTTACTTGATTTTTGTCCTGCTAATAAAATGTCTGGAATCAGTTAAGAAGTATCGTAAGCATTCTAAGGACTCCTGAATCTAACCCATTAAAATAAGTCCAGATTGGTTTTTTAATCATCTAAATGTGGGTACTATTAATCAGGCTTAAAAAGTGTTCTCTACGCAAGTCAATCACAGAGCTTTATAAGTAACTATTCAACACGCAATCCTTTCTCTAATCTTGTTTTTTTTTTTTTTTTTAATTGTATTAGAGCAGTTAGACTGGTGTGAGAACTATTTGTAAGTGGAGTAACAATTTATAAAAATGTAAAATATTAGTGATATAGGCATTTTGGAACATTAATAAAATATCAGATACTGCTTTAATACTAGGGTATCTTGTGATAACATTGAATATAATCTGATTTTCAGAGGTTGTCTTAACCCACTTCAAATAGTAACTCCTTTCTGTCTTTCCTGACCTGCCACCTCTTCAGACAGAATTTCTGATTTTTTGCAGACTTTTGATACAGAATCATCACAATGCTGTGTACAAACACACAGGATCCATTTTTTTTTAATTTTGGTAATTTCAGCACCTGATACCATATTGCATGTTTGTTTGAATTAAATTGTGTATACATTTAATCTGTTCTCTTTTTCTCTCTTTTTTGGGAATGCTTTCTTTGTGTCAAGCACTGTGTTACTTAATAATAAACTATATCTAACATAAATAAATTGTAGTGTTATTACTACAAATAATTTGCACATCAAAAGTCCAGCAATGTGAATTAATTTTGAATAGTAGTTGGGTAATTCTGACTACTTTAGCAATAATAAGAAAAGTAATTTCAAATGATTTTTCATTTCCTAGTGTGACTGTGAAATACTATGGAAAAGCATCTCATTCTGCTGCTTATCCCTGGGAAGGATTAAATGCATTAGATGCTGCTGTGCTGGCCTATAACAATGTGTCTGTGTTCAGACAGCAAATGAAACCAACCTGGAGAGTTCATGGTATGAATGTCAAATACCTTCTATAATAGATGGTGCTTACTAGAGTTCAGTGCAGTATAATTATTTAATATTCAATTTTTAAAAATTTGGAAATATTTTTGTACTTCATATGAATATTCTGATTTTTAAGCATATTTTCAGAAATTAATGTGGTAGGATACTAAGATGTTTGTCTATATATGGGTAGAAAGACAGTTTCGATTATTGTACATAAATGGAATGTCATCTTTGTGTATCAAAGATAAAGGTTTTATGTAAGGAACTGTGTTCTTTCAGTGGGTGTTTGAAAATTGGATCTTGACTTTCCAGTTGTCCTCATTATTTCTTAATGATAACCAAATTTTGTCACTTCCTCAATTAAAAAAATGTATAGTAACTGCTAGTTTTATTTAAGTGCTGTTAGTCCTGAGTAATATCTTTTTTTGAGTGTTTTTTTGTTTTTGAGACAGTCTTGCTCTATTGCCCAGGCTGGAGTGCAGTGGTGCAATCTCAGCTCACTGCAACTTCCACTTCCTGGGTTCAAGTGATCCTCCTGCTTCAGCCTCCCAGTTAGCTGGGATTACAGGCAGGCGAGTACCACCACACCCAGCTAATATTTGTATTTTTTGCAGAGATGGAGTCTTGCTATGTTGGCCAGGCTGGTCTCAAACTCCTGGCCTCAAGTGATCTGCCCACCTCAGCCTCCCAAAGTACTGGAATTATAGGTGTGAGCCACCAAGCCTGGTTCTGAATAGTGTCTTTTAAAATTATACATATGTCATCAGAATATAAATACAGTCATAAAGTACTGTCTTGGAGGCACACTTTTGTTTTTTAATTTATTTCCTTATGATTTAGGAAATTGTTATATTTTGGTATCTATTCTTTACCTGATTTTGCCATAGCCTGAGGTCAATTTGTAATTGTACTTTTACCAGTTTTCCTGCCTTAGTTTCTTTAAAAGGAACAAACAGGAATGTGTAGAAATATTTTTTTAAAGTAGGTCATATGACATTGGATTTTTCGTATCTATTTTAGTTATGACTTCAAATGAATAAATCTTAATTCTTTATAATTCTAAATAAATGCATTTGTTTTGACAGTTGATAATACTTAGTGATCTTTGACCTGCATTGGTTTTTTCCTTGGCATGAAAATTATTTTTCTAGAGCTAAATGCCATTTAAAATGTTCATGGGATTCCTGAGGTAGAAGGGTAATTATAGAACCTCATACCGTTGTGGAGGTATGGTAAAATCTTTTCCAGAAAGCTTAAGATGTTACTAAGTTTTTTTGTGTGTGTGTGGTTATGTAATTTTAAAGTTTCATTATAGTCTGTAACATAATTTCTTAACATTATATAAATTCCTTTGAATGAAGTACATATGGGTAATTATTTTTTTCTTATCAGTCAAAAAATATCACCCTATGTACAGAAATTTCAGTTGTACAACGTATCAAAATCTTTGATTGGTATATTGGTGGAGCTAGTAAGTTTAAATTATTTTTCTTTATGAACATATTGGCTGAAAAACTTAATGGGTGTATTTAAGCTTAAATAAATGGTCACCAAGCTTAATTCTAGTAATTTGGTTCTTTTTATAGGTATAATAAAAAATGGTGGTGTAAAACCCAATATCATTCCCTCTTATTCTGAATTAATCTATTACTTCCGTGCACCTTCAATGAAAGAACTTCAAGTTTTGACCAAAAAGGCAGAAGATTGCTTCAGAGCTGCAGCTTTGGCTTCAGGGTGCACAGTAAGAACTTTTAAAACTTAATCTAAGTTACAATCAGAGGTATATATGTGGGCTAGCGCTGTTAGATTGAAACCTAACTTGACTCTCTTATTTGGTGACATGTTGAATATGCAGAATTTGTTGGCTGAATAGTTAATGTGAAAGTCTTTAATTTTTACATGTTTCACTCTTCAGTGCCTGCAACAGGGAAGATGACAGGTCATCTTACTTATATAGTAATTAGAATAATTCTGATACTTCTGTGCTAGAATCCCTGACTTTTTACAAGTTAATATTCTTCCTTGTTGGCAGTTATACTTTTAGAATTGCTCTATGTAGTTTCTATAAAGGAAACTTCGTGGCAAAATCAGCAAAAACTTTTTTTTTTTTTGGAGGGGGAGCAGGGTCTTGCTGTGTTGCCCAGGCTGGAGTGTGGTGGCACGATCTTGGCTCACTACAACCTCTGCCTTCCAGGCTCAAGCAATCCTCTCACCTCTGCCTCCCACCTCAGCCCGCTGAGTAGCTGGGACTACAAGCATGCACCACCACACCTGGCTCATTTTTGGTATCTTTTTGTGGAGACAGGGTCTCACCATGCTGCCCAGGCTGGTCTCAAACTCCTGAGTTCAAGCGATCCACCCACCTCAGCCTTCTAAAGTACTGGGATTATAGGCATGAAACACCTTGCCCAGCCAGTGAAAGCTATTTTTGAAGTTAGGATGTATATAGTAGTGATATAAATACTATGGCTTGCTGGAATGGAAGATAAAATAGACACGTAAGTTAGTTAAGAGGTTTTATTGATTTGTTTTGTTTGTTTGTTTGTTTTTGAGACAGAGTCTTGCTCTGTTGCCCAGGCTGGAGTGCAATGGTGCAATTTTGGCTCAACGCAACCTCTGCCTCCTGGGTTCAAGCGATTCTCATGCCACAGCCTCCCAAGTAGCTGGGACTATAGGCGCGTGCCACCATACCCAGCTAATTTTTTTTTTTTTTTTTTTTTTTGAGATGGAGTCTCACCCCGGCCCAGGCTGGAGTGCAATGGCGTGATCTCGGCTCACTGCAACCTCTGCCTTGCAGGTTCAAGCAATTCTTCTGCCTCAGCCTCTTGAGTAGCTGGGATTACAGGCACGTGCCTCCACACCCGGCTATTTTTTTGTATCTTTAGTAGAGACGAGGTTTCACCATGTTGACCAGGCTGGTCTCGAACTCCTGACCTCGTGATCCACCCGCCTCAACCTCCCAAAGTGCTGGGATTACAGGTGTGAGCTACCACGCCAACTGGTTTTGAACCATAAAGTTAGCAGTATTTAAATACCATTCATGTACTGCGTAAAGTGGAGTGAGTTTTAGAATTATACAAGATAAGAATCTTGCCCTGGAGGGAGCCTGTTTAGGTCTAGTTGGAGAAACAGGATCTTGACCCATAACTCTCAGCCTAGCTGATTCTATAACCTTTAGAAATGTTTAGTGTCTTTGGCCCTCCATTTTCTTGCTTGAAAAATGGAGATAATAAGAGTCTATCTTAGGGTTCTTGTGAGAATTAAATGAGATAATGTTTCTGAAGGATTTAGAGCCCAGCCTTCATTTATATTACCTTATTTTTTTCTGTTCTTATTAGTCTAGAGATGTATGATTAATTCATGTAGTAGCAGTATTTCACAGTAGCAGTAATTCTCAGAAAGCATATGTTACGTGTCCTGAAAGTAGTATGGAATGCGTCATGAGGATCAGAGGTGGGAAAGAGTGGTCTGGGGCAGTTAACCTTGGAGCAAGGTTTTGTGGAAGACTGCAGACCTGAATTGAGTTTTGAAGGGTGAACGTACTTTCAGATATGCATAGGAAGGACAGAGACTGACAGTTCTTAGGGAATATAGTCAGCAAAGATAAGAATATAAAAGCTTACATTGTGTTGTAGTGAATAGATAAACATGTGGACAGATGTAGGAACAAAGATGTATTCTCATTTGCGACTAGAGAAGATGGGTATAGATTTAGTGAATGAAAACTATGAAGTGTCCATAGCCTAGACAGTAAAAACTAAATATTTATTCCCTTATTTATTTATAATTATAAATATTTATTTGTGAAATACATATGCATGTGAACTATTATCATTAGGCAATATCTCAAGGCATACAGTATTCCCTTATGGTAAGGTTTGTTGTTACTGGATTTGAATCTATATTTAATTTAATTTAATTTATTTTTAAAGTTTTTTGTAGAGATAGGATCTCCCTATGTTGCCCAGACTGGTCTCAAAACTCCTGGGTTCAAGTGATCCCCCTGCTTTGGCCTCCCAAAGTTCTGGGATTGCAGGTGTGAGCCACCTTGCCTGGCCTGAATCTATATTTTAAATAATCTTTTAGTAGTTTCTTACATTTGGCTGACTTGTAAGGTCTGATTCAGTTGTCATAGTTTCTACCATAGATGTTGCTAAAAGAAATGTCATCTCTGCCATTTTATGATTGGCTTTTGCTAATATTGGTGTTATCTTTAGTTTGAGGGAATATTGCCAGTTTTCATTTAATCAGAACTGAATCTGTAAATCCACTTAACTGGGCACATAAAAGCTGCTTCCGTATCTTTATATACTGAAATTAATAAATGAGGACTGTTGTCAACCCTTCCTCATTGCAAATCTTCTACGTTTCCCTCAGAGTGCTTTTCTACCTCTCACACCAGGCAGTGATGTCAGTGTCAGTTTGCATATTGAATATTAGGAAAGCTTAATTTCTTTTTTTTGGAGACTGAATCCTAGAGCAGTGTTCCTCAGAGTGTGGTTTTTGGGTCACCTATGTCAGAATGTCTTGGAGGGTGCTGGTTAAAATAAAAATTAGGTTGGTCGCAGTGGCTCACGCCTGTAATCCCAGGACTTTGGGAGGCCGAGGCGGGCAGATCACCTGAAGTCAGGAGTTCGAGACCAGCCTGGCCAACATGGCGAAACCCCATCTCTACTAAAATACATAAACAATTAACTGGGCTTGGCGGCTAGTGCCTGTAATCCCAGCTACTTGGGAGGCTAAGGCAGGAGAATCACTTGAACCTGGGAGGCGGAGATTGCGGTGAACTGAGATCGCACCACTGCACTCCAGCCTGGGCAACAGAGTAAGACTCCATCTCAAAAATAAAATAAATAAAAATTAATAAAAATTTCTGGGCCCTCCTCACACCCTATCTAGGTGATTAAAGTTGACACTCGCTAGCTAGTACAGAACTTGATGACATTGTGGGGTTTAGTGTATATGTAATATAAAAGAGATAGAGGCCTAGGAGCTCTCGTTATAGAAAATACATCTTCTTTTTTTTCTTTTCTTTTTTTCTTTTTTAAGGCAAGAGATTTGAGAGTGTTTATATCTGGAAGGGAAAGTATCTTATCTTAAAACCTCTTCTTATTAGAGAACAATCACTGGTTTGAAAATTAGATAGTGAATTTGAGTTTTTTATTTCAAAGTTTGTTTTGCAATTTTTTATTAGGTGGAAATTAAAAGTGGAGGACATGATTATTACAATGTCCTTCCCAATAAGAGCCTATGGAAAGCCTATATGGAAAATGGAAGAAAACTAGGAATAGAGTTCATTTCAGAAGATACAATGTTGAATGGCCCTTCAGGTAATTAAGTTCTTTTTTTAATATATTGAGCTATTTGAGGAAGAGAAATACCGTCTTTGGTTAAATTGGTTTTATTTAATGGTTTGGGAGGTAGGGAAGTACTGCTGACATTTTTAATATTTTCACAAACTTTATGATTAGGAGAAAGAAACTAATGGACTCTTAAGTGAGTGTAGAATGTCAAACGAGCCAATTTGATTTTAGAAATAGTCAACCTACATTTTAGTCTATATTCTAAATATTTTCTAATGTTTAAGTTTCTTTAGTTTTAATTGTTAAGTAAGTGGCTAAGGTGGGATATAGAATTTTAATTCATTCTCAGTCATCACTATAAGCAGGTTACTAAGTACTTAGTTATCTGGGGCATTTTCAGTTTCTGAGGAGCAACAGACAACTAGAATTGAAATAAGCATATTTGGGGTTATGTTAGTTTTTTTTCCTTTTAAAAGCATATTATTACTAACACATTTGCAAGTTAGAGATGTATCTTCTGTTTTAAAAATAGATGTTGATGAAGTAGGCCCAAAAGGACTTGGTGGTGAAATGGGGTGTCATTGTCTTTCATTAAGATAAGGAGTTCAAGAGAAAGAGCAGGTTAGGGTAAGAGGGGGTTGTTATAAACTAGTATGTTAAACTTGAGGTGCTTATAGTATTTCTAAGTGGAGCTGTTCAGTACCTGTTAAATTTAGAACCCAAAAAGATGTCTAGTTTGGAGATTTAGGAGTTGTCCATATATGAAAGGTAATAGAAGATGTTGACGAGATTGCCCAAATACATAAAGGAAGAAGATTCCCAGAGATCAGACATTGGTAGTCAACAGTCAACAGAGTGAAAGCCAGACAATCAGGAGAGAGGAGAAGGAGAGTCATGGAAGCCAAGGGAGAATAAAACTTACTGAAGAGAAGGAGGTGTAAACATACTAGGTGCTGTAGAGACTAAATAGGATGAGTATGGTCTAGTGTCCGCTGGATTCTAGTAATTAGAAATTCACAAATTGTCTGGAGGAAAATAGTACAAGACCAGTGGTACCAGATGCTGGGTCTCACTTCTCTACCCAGTGCATTGACTGGTGAGATAGTGGAAGTAGCAAAGGAAGACTATTCTTTTTCAAGAGAGTTAGCTTTCAAGAAAAATAGAGTGGATACAAGCCTGAGGGAAATATGGAAAATAAAATAGTTTTTGTTTTTTGTTTTTTTTTTGAGACGGAGTCTCACTCTGTCGCCCAGGCTGGAGTGCAGTGGCGTGATCTCAGCTCACTACAAGCTTTGCCTCCCAGGTTCATGCCATTCTCCTGCCTCAGCCTCCCGAGTAGCTGGAACTACAGGCACCCGACACCACGCCTGGCTAGTTTTATTTTTTTTATTTTTAGTAGAGACGCGGTTTAACTGTGTTAGCCAGGATGGTCTCGATCTCCTGACCTCGTGATCTGCCCTCCTCGGCCTCCCAAAGTGCTGGGATTACAGGCGTGAGCCACTGTGCCTGGCCACGAAAATAGTTTTTAAGGGAAGATACTTGAGAAGTAGATGTACTGTTTAGGAAGAAGGTCAGGGAGTTCAGAGACTTTCCTTTTAGGAAGTAGCACACAGTGAGCATTGAGCTGGCAGGGCTGAGGGATTGAGAGAGAATTGCCACTGAGAGGAGTTGGCCAGGGACATCAGAGTTTCATGTTTTCTTTTGTTTCTGGACAGCATGAGTGCTTAGCTCAGCATTGAAGATCATGAATTTGTTGTTCAGGCAGTCTTCATGGTTCTCTTCTTTTACCGTAGCAGGTTTCTGCAGTCTAGCTAAAGAAGGAAAGACACACGGACAGCCCTACCCTGGGTTTGGGTTTTATATAATGGACAAATCAGTAGGATAAAGTGGCTGTGATTTTGGTATGATTTATAGGCTCTAGGGTCTAGCTCCACTAGTAAGATCTTAAAATAGGCAACAGGCTTTTTTTTGTCCATCCTATTTTGTTTTGTTTCGTTTTCACACTCAGACTGTTTAGACTCTTTAAACATCAGAGAGGCTTTTTCCGTCCTGTTCACTGATGTCCCATCGCTGTGCATTCTCAGTGTCTGGAGCCGTTTCTGGCACAGTTAAGTGCTTAGTGAATATTTTCTGAAGCAGTACTTTTATAGAGGCTACTATGCCTCAAAGTCTGGCCTCAGTCTGCATTTGCCACATAACTAGCAGCTGTGAGACTATCAGCATGTTATTTAATACCCATAAGCCTTGGTTTCTTCGTATTTAAAATGGAAACTGTTCTAAATGTTAATGAGAATACATACAAAGCACTGAGGATTGTGTTTGGAACGTAGTATTCCAGATAAACGTTAGCTACTCTTTGTTACATATTCCTTTATTCTCTTACCACTCACTGTGTAGTCTAACTTTGCCTGCATGGTGTTTGACATGTAATAAACATTCAGTAAATATCCATTGAGTGAACATAAGGCTTTGTTTTTACTGTGATTTCTTCAGCAAGAGTCTGTGTGTCAATCCTGTGAGAAGCTAGATGCACAGTCATTTCAAATACTATTTCTTGCTGTATACAGCCTCATAATCTAGTTTCTGAGATAAGCATGAACCAAATCATCCAATACATGGAAAATTAAAAAGTACTGTAAAGGACAGCAATACATCTCTGTGAGAGCCTGTCCTAGAGGAATTTCACTTTATGGGGAGGTGAAGTGAGTAAAGCTTTGCTGAGAAAATGATGCTTAAGTTGGAATTTGAAGGTTAAGTAAGAGTTACAGGGATGATGCAGGGATAGCATGTGACGGTCCTGTGACGGGGAGAGCATAGTGAGTGTCTAGAGTGGCTGGGGCATCGAGGGTAGTGGGAACGTGGTATGAGATCAGGTTGGAAAGGTAAATGAAGATTGAAAAGAAAAATCAGCAAATAGAGTAGATGCTGCTAGACCAATTAGGAAACTTTTAGTTCAGGCAAGAGATAATGATCGCATAGACTGGAGACAGGTGTTGGTGATGGTGATGCAAAGAGCGTTAGGATTCTGAGATATTTGGCAGATACTGTTGATAGGTGGGGTGGAGGTGGAAGAGGAGAAAGATCATGAGTTTAACTTTAGATATGTTAAGTTTGATCTACCTTGAAGACATCCAAGAGAAGATACCAGGCCGGCAACTGGATGTATGAACATGGAATTTAGAAGAGACTGAGAAGAGATTTGAGTTGGTGATTATTTGAAGCAATACATACGGACAAAATCTTGAGAAAGAATATACAGTGAGAAGAGAAAGGGGCCTGGAATGGAGTCTCCTATAACTAATATTTCATCGTCAGGTAGAGGGGGCTGTATCCCCAAGAGAGACAGAAGAAGGGGCCATCAGAGAGGCAGAAGGGAAACCATGCAAGTGCTGTGTCACAGAAGAGAAGAAAGGGAGTAAGTAACAGTGTGGAGTGCTGCCTAAGAGGGCCGGTAAAAGCCTTGAGATCAGGCAAGGACAGGTTTGCACTGACCTTCATGAGAGATGTGACTGATGCAGGGGAGTGTGTGGCGGACTCAGTGGAAGGTGAGCCCATGAAAACACGAGCATATGGACAACTCTCCAAGAAGCTCACTTCTCTGGGTCTCTTCTAACAGGGACTGTGACTTCATAACTCAAGAATACTTAACCACATATACTTAAATAGACTTTTTTTCCTTTGTGTGTTCCAAGGATCTACGGATTTTGGAAATGTTACTTTTGTGGTTCCTGGAATTCATCCATATTTTCACATTGGATCTAATGCCTTGAATCACACTGAACAGTACACTGAAGCTGCTGGTAAGTGTTGTTGTATGTGACCGTTTTGGCACACGCACTCTTCTGTAGTAGCTGCCTTTCTGTTTAACCTACTGTTTCACTACATAACATCATCTCAGTGAATACTGCACTGTGGGGGGCGGGCAGTTGGAGAGCGGGCAGTTGGAGAGCCAGTTGAGATACGGATAGCTAACCTGTGAAATTAAATACAGTTTAAATAAGTAAGAACGTATTTTATTTTCTCTACCTTTTAGGGTCACAGGAAGCTCAGTTCTACACTTTGCGGACGGCCAAAGCCCTGGCAATGACAGCACTGGATGTTATTTTTAAACCAGAGTTACTGGAAAGAATCAGAGAGGACTTTAAACTGAAACTTCAAGAAGAACAGTTTGTAAATGCAGTAGAATAGAAGGAAGACTTAGGGACCGCTTATAAATCAAGAAGATATGATGATTTTTTTTCTTTTAATCTCTTTTAATGAAGGCATGCTTGTTTTTTAATCTTAAAGGAGTCAAATTCTTTTTACCTGATAAGTGAGGACAGGGTGTGGAGAAAACATATTACCTCATATCTGAAGTGAAAATTTTTGCAAATCTGTACTGGATGGGATTATGATATTACAGGAGCTGGTGTGTAATGCCATTTCTTTTCTTTCCCCCGCAACCACTCTCCTTCACAGTAGTGATACCATTTCTTAAACTACCTGGAGGATACATGGCATCATTTTAATAAAATATTTTAATAAATCTTTTTATAAGCCTTACATGTTGTCTGTATTCTTAAAAGCTTAAGAGATTTCAAACCTTGTATTCAGAATTGACACCTATGAGAGTGTTTTGTGGTATAGGGTGGTAAACTTGTTCTCTAATCGTGTATTATTCCTCTACCAGATTGTATATTTGAAGCCAGTATCTTTCTTTTTTTTTGTTTTAAGACAGAGTCTCGCTCTGTTGCCTAGGCTGAAGTATAGTAACATGATCTCGGCTCACTGCAACCTCTGCCTCCCAGGTTCAAGTGATTGTCTTGCCTCAGCCTCCCGAGTAGCTGGGATTACAGGTGTGTGGCGCCATGCCCAGCTAATTTTTGTATTTTCAGTAGAGACGGCATTTCACCATGTTGGCCAGGCTAGTCTTGAACTCCTGACCTCAGGTGATGCACCCGCTTTGGCCTCCTGAAGTGCTGGGATTACAGGCATGAGCCACCACACCCGGCCTGCCAGTGTCTTTTTAATACACACGTGTGTTGGTATTTTTAAATTGTTACAGTGTCTAGCATATTGCTTACTCTGAATATTCAGTACTTTTTGAATAAGCAAATATTGCTTCCTTGCTTGGAATCATCAAAGTTTAAAGTAGCTTCGTGGATGGACCATGATCCTAAGATGAGTTTTAATTGTGATTATAGTCATCTCTTGTACAGCCTGGAGAAGAAAAGATATACTTACTACTTTGCTTTGGGTACACATAAGAAAACCTCTTTTTAAAAAAACTTTTTATTTTTTTACATAATAGAGACAGGGGCTCACTATATCTTCCCGGCTGGTCTCAAACTCCTGGGCTCAAGCAATCCTCCTGTCTTGGCCTCCCAAAGTGTTGGGATTTCAGGTATGAGACACCACACCTGCCCATTTTTGTTTTGTTTTTTAATGGGCAGGTTCTTACTCTGTTTCCCAGGCTAGAGTGCAGTGGTGTAATCACAGCGCACTGCAGCCTCGAACTCCTGGAGTCAAGCAGTCCTCCCACCTCAACCTCTTAAAGCACTGGGATTACAGGCTTGAGGCACTGCACCTGGCCCTGACTCATTTTTTAAAAAGGTTAGGCTGACTTAGTGCAAAGTTTAAAATTATACGATTCTTAAAATGCGGAATTAGTTTCTAACCTAAACTAGAGGTATAGGTGGACCTGCTTGAGATATCTTTTGTTTTTATGGAACATTTTTATGACACGCCTTTATAGTTTTTCATTGTTCATGCCCTGTACTGAAACCTTTTTCTCAAATACCAACTCTTGGCTGTGTTGAATTTATAGACTTTAAAAGATATTATCTAAATTAATGGTTTAAATATACAAATTGAGAATATTTTCTTTTTAGTGATAATTTTAAAAGCGGGCCTTAATATGGGACCTGCTTTTAAAGTAAAATAATTATGTGGTACTATGAATTACTAAATTGCTATATACCATGTAATAGTGAGTATAGCTAATATTTAGTATGCCTTTTCAAAATTTTGGACTGCCTTTCAGTTTTAACAGATTCTCCACATTATGTGAACTACTCAAGAAATTTTCCCTTTTTAATTGTCTCTATAACACTCATAAGAGCTAGGGCATTAGGATAAACTAGAATATTTTATGTTTATGAATACTTGTATACACTTAAAAGTGTTTTGATCTCCCACAATTTCCCAAAGGAATGTTTATTTATTAAGAGTTGTATTGATATTTTAACGGTTACAATTTCAGCAGTTGAGTTCAGTGAACATTGGTTGAGGAGTGCATATTTCTAAGCACTGGGTGTAAGAAGGAAAGATACTGCAAGAGGAAGAACTAAGATTAACATAATTTCTTTAGTTTTTCTATTGCTTGTTATGTAAAAACTGGGTGGCAGTTCAGAAGGAAGATTGTTGTAACAGAAGAGTGACAACCAAGAATTTTTTGATCATTAAATCAGATTTTGTAAACAGTGGCAGGAACATGGACTTAAAACAAGGCTTGCTTATTTGGTTTTGTCAAAATTTTATGAAAATATGTGATATATATTTATACTAAAACTATATAATCCTTAGATTTAGAAAAGCAATCAGTTAATGTCTTTAGCACACTAAAGCAGTATTAAACACAGGTACAAGTTGGAAATTGTAGAAAACTGAAAGAAAACAAAAGACAAAATGTGTGTGGTAGGGAATTAAAGAGTTTAAGATATCATATAAAATTACGTGTATTTTCTTCTCTTTTACATAAATCATTTGTGAAAAGTGTGCTCAACTTTTTTACAAGAGTGATATTAATTAGGATTTGTTTTTCAATATAATTTGGAGACCCTTGGTTATCCAAATAAAAATGATGAGTCTCTGTGCCTGTTTAAAAAAAAAAAAGAAAGAAAAGACAGTGTGTGTGCCCCAGAAAGCTTGTGGTGGGTAGTAAGTTCTTACGAGATTTATTCATCTGAGCAACGCTGGGACTGAGGGAACATCTGAAAGCTACCATCTTGAAAATTTTTGAGGAAGTGTTTCTGAAATATTTAAAAATACTTCAGTCACTTTAGTCATTTTGAACAGCAGAAATTGATGCAAAAAGTTTTTTTTTTTTAAGGATGATTGTCTAATTTTATAATATGTTCTTTTTTAAAAACCTGTCTGATGGTGTTTTATACATTTCTAACTTTTTACCTGAATTACCTCTTTAGTCTTTTGGAAAATATCCTACATAAGACTAACCTTTAAAACTATCAGATTTTTGTTGTAAGATAAATGTTATCTTTGTACTAGATAGCAACTCTTTATAAGGTTGTAAGGTATGATAAACTGCTTCTTTATTACATACTTCATAGCAAGCATTTTGCAGTCCAATTATATAGTTGAGGATGGTGTATTTTGGTATATATGAAAATATTTTCAAGTAAGCAGTCTACTACCATCAGATTATAAGCTTTTTTGTAATATTTTAATAGGTACATAAAATATGTATGAAAAATCTATAATAAACATGTTTATCTGATAGCAATTATCTTGCTTTTTTAATGACATGAAGATATATATGAAGATAAAGCACAATTACCCAAATCCATTGTGATACACTATACTTTTTCTTATGCATCAGTATCATAGATGTTGACTTGCTTTTCTATTATGTGTCATATATTTTAAAAGAACAATTAAGTTCTTTTGTTGAAAAATGAATGTTTCACTAGTCTCAGAAGCTAAAAAATTGCAGTGCAAATTGTACATGACAGGAGGTAAATACAGAGTTATAGTATTGAGTCCTTTTTTAAAAAAAGTTTCCACCTTCCATACAGAGTAATTCCATGTAATAACACAAATGCAATGGAACAGGTTTTTAGATCCTGGTTAAAGTATAAGTGCCTCATATGAGAAAAGTCACAAATGTCCATGTTTCTTTGTTTAAACTGGTTTTTTATTTTTATTCTTACTTTTGGAGACAGTGTCTCGCTGTCAACCAGGCTGGAGTACAGTCAGTGTTGTGATCACAGCCCACTGCAGCCTCACCTTCTAGGCTCAAGCAATCCTCCTGCCTCAGCCTCCTGAGTAGCTGGAACTATAGGCATGTGCCCAGCTAATTTTTAAACTTTTTATACAGATGGGATCTCAAACTCCTGAGCTCAAGCGATCCTCCTGCTTTGGCCTCCCAAAAGACTAGGATTAGGGCATGAGCCACTGAACCTAGCCTTAGACTGGCTTTCAAAATAGAGCCCAAATCTGTTCTTTTTTTTAAAGAGATTAATATGTAAGATTAGCTTTTGTTAGTTCAATAGATCAAAGCACCTAACCACCTTATAAAAGAAACCTCAGAAATATAAAATAGAGATTATCAGGTCAGGGTCTTAAGTGGACAATAATCTTGTTGAGGTCAGAGACAGTAGACATTGCCTCCCTGGATGAACAGTCGCATTTGGGAGTTTGAATTTTTTTTCTGTTTGTTGTGTTGTTGGTCACTGACAACATATTTAGCTCAAGAGAATGGAAAAGAGTTAAAAACCTGCATCTTTTCCATTTGCATTTATTTAAGATAAACCAAAGCTTCTAAATTGACTCACTGGTTATTGCCTGAAATGATAAAGATTCAGGATTAACAGTAGCCTCATGGCATGTCATCTGGTCTGACACTTTCCTTGAAGAAAGATCATGTGTTAGAGTACGGAACCTTAAAGAGTTTGATTAGAAGCTGAGTAAAAATCCTTGAGTATAAATAGTTAAGAGTTTGCTCATTGGGCCGGGCACGGTGGCTCACACCTGTAATTGGCACTTTGGGAGGCCGAGGTGGGTGGATCACCTGAGGTCAGGAGTTTGAGACCACCTGGCCAACATGGTGAAACCCCGTTTCTAGTAAAAAAAAATACACAAATTAGCTGGGTGTGGTGGTGGGCACCTGTAATCTCAGCTACTCGGGAGGCTGAGGCAGGAGAATTGCTGGAATCCAGGTGGCAGAGGTTGCAGTGAGCCGAGATCGCGCCATTGCACCCCTGCCCGGGCTGACAACAGCGAGACTCCGTCTCAATGAATGAATGAATGAATGAATGAATGAATGAAAGTTTGCTCATTGCCTGAGAGCACGATAGGATGCCAGGAAGAAGTGAACTCAGATGCAGTTGAAACCTAATGCTTTAAACTAATATCCGAGTCCCATTATCTCTGAACGTTGTGTGGTGGTAAATGATTGTGGAGCCATGGCGTTCTTCAGATATGGAGCAGTTACTCACAGCAGCTATTTGCTGTGTTTGCCATAGTTTTTGAAGGCTTATAGGTGGGTTGTGTGTTCTTTAAGAAAAGGTCCCTTGTAAAAATATATAAGAATAGTTTATAGTAGAAAATCCGGGCTGGGCGCGGTGGCTCACGCCTGTAATCCCAGAACTTTGGGAGGCCAAGGTGGGCGGATCACCTTTGGTCAGGAGTTTGAGACCAGCTTGGCCAACAGGCTGAAGCCCTGTCTCTACTAAAAATACAAAAATTAGCCAGGCGTAGTGGTGCAGTAGTCCCAGCTACTTAGGAGGCTGAGGCAGGAGAATCTCTTAAACCTGGGAGACAGAGGTTGCAGTGAGCCGAGATTGTGCCACTGCACTCCAGCCTGGGTGACAGAGCAAGACTCCATCTCAAAAAGAAGAAATCCCAGGCAGAAAGAGATTACAACCATGATTAAGCATTTTCTCCAAGCAGATTTGAGTCTGTTTCCCAGCTTCTGATGTTGCCACTACCCCCCCATCTATCCTCTGGTACTTTCCTTTTTTATAATGTTTCTTATTTTTTGTTTGTTTATTTTGAGGAAGGGTCTCACTAGGTCACCTGGGCTGGAGTGCTGTGGCATAAGCAGGGCTCAGTGCAGCTTCAACCTCCTGGGCTCGAGTGATCCTCCCACCTCAGCCTCTGGAGTAGCTGGGGCTCCAGGTGTGCACTACCACACCTGGCTAGTTTTTAAGCAAATTTTGTAGAGATAGGGATCTTACGATATTGCCCAGGCTGGTCTCGAACTCCTGGGCTCAAGCAGTCCTCCTGCCTCAGCCTCCCAGAGTGCTGGGATTTCAGATGTGAGCCACTGTGCCTGGCCCCCTCTGCATTTTCTAAATTCTCCTGGCCTGAAGTTCCACTGATGATGATGAGCCCTGGAATTTGAGGTCAATAATCCTGCAGCTGAATGTCAGAGGAGTCTAATGTTTTAACAGAATAATTTTAATAATATAATTACATCATTTAAATCAAGTAGCTGATAATGTAATCGCCCAGTGGGTTCTCCTTGCCCACTGCCCAGATAGAGCTGATTTATCAAGATGGGAGTTGCAATAGAGAAATAGTTTAATTTACACAGAGCTAGGCTAAACAGGTGAACAGAGATTTAATACTCACATTAGCCTCCCTACAAATCTGGAGACTGGGGTTTTTTAAGGCTGATTTGGCAGGTTGGGGGGGGGGTCAGGGAAGTGAGTGCTGATTGGTCAGGTCGGAGATGCTCTCACAGTGGGGCCCGAGTGGGTTCTTGCTGAATCCTGTTCCTGGGTGGGATCACAGAGCTGGTTGAGCCAGATTATGGGTCTGGGTGGCTCCGGCTGGTGCATCAGACTGAGGCTCTGGAGAATACCTCAAGCACTGATCTTAGGTTTTGCTATAGTGATGTTATCCCTAGGAACAATTAGGGAGGTTCAGGATCTTGTGGCCTCTGGTTACAATGACTCCTAAACCATAATTTCTAAAGTTGTGGCTAATTGGTTAGTCTTAATAAAGGCAGCCTGGTCCTCAGGCAAGAAGGGGGTTTGTTTGGGAAAGGGTTGTTATCTTTGTTTCAAAGTTAAACTTTTTTTTTTTTTTTGAGACGGAGTCTCGCTCTGTGGCCCAGGCTGGAGTGCAGTGGCCGGATCTCAGCTCACTGCAAGCTCCGCCTCCCGGGTTTACGCCATTCTCCTGCCTCAGCATCCCAAGTAGATGGGACTACAGGCGCCCGCTACCTCGCCCAGCTAGTTTTTTGTATTTTTTTAGTAGAGACGGGGTTTCACCGTGTTAGCCAGGCTGGTCTCGATCTGCTGACCTCGTGATCCGCCCTCCTTGGCCTCCCAAAGTGCTGGGATTACAGGCTTGAGCCACCGCACCCGGCCCAAAGTTAAACTTTTAAATTCCTCCCAAAGTTAGTCCGGCCTACACCCAGGAATGAACAAGGGCAGTTTGGAGGGTAGAAGCAAGATGAAGTCAGTTTGGTCAGATCTCTTTCACTGTCATAATTTTCTCACTTATAATTCTTGCAAAGATGATTTCAATAACACAATCCAGGGAAGTGGGACTTTGTTTTTTTTTAGATTCAGGGGGTACATATGCTTGTTACACAGGTATTACAGGTAACATACATACATGTATACATGCGATACATACTACCTACAATGTCCAATGGACATTGTATCCAATAGGTAACTTTTCAACTGTCACCCTCCTCCCTCCCCACCCCACTTTTGGAGTTCCCAGAGTCTATTGTCTCATCTTTATGTCCATGTGTACCTTTTGTTTAGCTCCTACTTGTAAGTGAGAACACGAGATTCTTATTTTCTGTTTATGTGTTCTGTTTCTGTGAGGATAATGGCCTCCAGCTCCATCCATGTTGCTGCAGAGGACATGATTTCATTCTTTTTTATGGCTGTGAGAAGTCCAATCTTACGAATAAAGCAATAGTCCAGCAAGAAGTAAAGAAAAGTAGTGTATTGCTTAGAAAGAGCAGCTGTCTGAAATCTTTCCAGTGAGCCCCAGCTGCACTTCATTTTATTTCCTGCCTGTGAGATTCCCCTGTATTCTATTTCTTTCTTAGGCTAGTTTGAGTGGGTTACTGTTCATAAAATCAAATGTCACTAAGGTATAGTTTCATACCCTTTCCTGATTTTTTTAAGTCTTAAAAAGCTAGGGACCTAGAGTTGTACTACCGTGATATAATAAAGAAAATTGATCTCAAATCAACCTCATTCTATATGCTCATTGTTAATGTGAGGAAATAGTCTGTGATAGGAATATAAGGAGTATTCATCACAATTTTATTTTTTCTTTCAATACTAGGGAAAAGATTCAGTATCCATAGTGTGGAATTATTATAATGGCTGCAAAATGTGGAGAGTTTTTAGTAGAAAAATGATAATGCTATGTTTTGGAAAAGAAAAAAATCAATCTTTTCTGCCTTCTAAAACTTGATGAACTTTACAGGTTACCCCACTGCCAAAAAAAAGGAAAAAAAAAAAATCAACACTTAAATCCCAGGTAACTCAGATTCATACTCCATCAGAATTAAAAAAAAAAAAACTAACTGAGCTTTGTGGTACAGGAATATTTTAAAGAAATATTCCTGAACAAACATTCTTCCTATTTTGAAGAGGCAACTGTGTTCTTTAAAGCTGGGCTTCTGCCCGGCACAGTGGGTCACCGCCTATAATCCCAGCACTTTGGAGGCCAAGACAGGGGGATATCTGAGGTCAGGAGTTTGAGACCAGCCTGGCCAACATAGTGAAACCCCATCTATACTA